CTTTTATATACCCCTTAGAGAGGGGCACAATGGAATTAGGCAAAAGTATGTAACAGGCAGAAGGAAACATCTCCGATTCCATAATATATATATATGTATATAGAAAGTCGCTAGATCCTTAAGCACATTTTATTTATTTTTTATTATATTGTTAAGTAATTTGAATATTACAATTGCTAACACAAGTGAGTGAAAATTACAATCTTTAAAATATATTTGTGGATGATATGTTGATAGATGGGATGGATGATAGATGGGTTGAGTGGTTTCGGTTTGGAAAGTGTGCTTTGAATAATGAAGTCCTGCATACGCTCTCAAACGAAAGGGTATACAGGGTAACAGAATGTGGTTTGTGCTCGGTTAGCGGGCATAAATTTGGACAGAGGATCTGCTCTCGCTGCAACAAGGACCGTCGTCGTTTTAAGGGCCAACTGGTGCAGCTCAGTTTGCATGAGGGCCATGAAAGGATGAAAGGATGGAAAAACATTTTGCGTCTCTGCCAAATGAGGAGATTGCATTGTAGTTGCTGGCGTTGAAGTTGCATTAAATGTTATTGTTGCATGTGGCACGTATACTGCTGCGGCTGCTGTTACAATTTCTGCACGTAGTCACTGTTTACTTTGGAATGTTATCGTTGTCGCTGCATAGGCGTATCATCGCCCACAAAATACCACAGCACCACCCAATTACCACATTTCCATATCCCCTGCCCCTGCCCCTGCCACTGCCACTTTCCTTTCCTCGTCCCAGTGGCGCCTCTACTCTGACTGCAAAACGCAGTCATGCAAATATAACACGCATCTCCCACATCCGCCGCATCCACGCACCAATGCGTTTCCACAGGCCACACGAACTGCAATGCAAATCCTGCATGGAGTATATCGCCACTACGCAACAGCAACAAAGTTGCGATAACACGACATGTGTGTGGGGGGGGGTTCTGTTGCAAATGGACACGTTAATGAGTTGTGGCAACCATAGCAACCAGAGTTAAGCAAACTGTTAATTTATTTATACAATGATCGGGTAATCAGTGAATTTCTGTGCAGTAAAATCTGATAAAATTAAATTAGCTGAAAATGATTTCAATTTGATTTAAGAGTATCAGTGAGTATTCAATTACAATAAATAATAGTATATATATCTTCTTAACATACTTAAGCTCAAGTAAGAGAATTGATTATCGATTTGTATCGAACGGGAAGCGATAAAAGAGTATCGAACAGAGACTAATGAACTTATCAAAGTCTTTCCCATATTAATAATAATATTTGCAAACAGTAAAAAAATGCTTATTCGAAAAATAAAGTCTTAAAAATGATTTCAATTCGGAATTCATATATTTCTATGATTATACCTTTTAACTTTTCACTTTGCTCTTAAACTAAATTCAATTTTTCCCAATCCTTGCAATGAGTGTTGGACCATTTTAAAAGATCAGAAGCATTCAGATACGCCTCTAATATATTATAATACTGATGCTTAACCAACAAGCATAAAAACACTCTAATCATTTCAACTTTTCAGAAATTGATGTTTTATTTTGAAGTTTAAGAAAAATTGACATTATTTTCGAAAACTATTTTAGTTTTAGCGTTTGGCAACAAAATGATTTTAAATTAAATTAATATTTTGCATATCTTTGGGTTTGTCACATATTTAGCTTATTGGACTTATTATTTGCATATCTAAAATTTCAGCATCTTCAGCTGGCTATCCCATGTGAGCTGACAGCAGCTCGAAAAAGAAGACGGAAATATGCATCATATGTATGTGTCTGGATGTGGCTCACCATTTCCGCAACGTGCTGCGTGTATTGGCCACACGTTGCAGCTTTGTGCCCATAACACATAACCCTTCAAACCGCATTCCCCCCCTTCGCAACACTCTTCCTTCCTTTCCCTCAGGCATTGGCTTTCAATTTCTGTCAGTGGAGCGGAGCAACTCTTTTGCTTCTGTTTACATTTTGGCTTTTTGCCCCGCTGTCACCGGCTATCCCAAAGGGCAGGGCAGAACCACACTGCACAGAACGTGCCATTGTTTTAAACCTTAATACACCACTTTTTTTATATAAACATATATATATATATATAGTATATATGCAGTATATACATATGTGTACTTAATTAAGGCTCTTGCTCTGCTCGTGCGCTTATGAAATTTTAGAGCAAAAACTTAATTTGTTGCGTGCTTTTCAGCGCTGCTGTTCAGAGTGTGTGTGTGTGTGTGTCTCTGAGTGTGTGTAAATAAATGTGAGGTAGTTCATATTCCCCGAGATGCAATGCTAATGAAATATTTAATTGACATTTTTGCCGCTATTAAAATTAAAGTAAATTAACTTTGTCAGCCGTTTTAATTAAGCGATAAAAAAGCCACATAATAAAACACATGACACGACAAAGGGGGTGGTTGGGGGTAGGTGGATGCTGGGGCAGGTCACGTTGTCACATTGTGTGCCATACGCAAAGGGAATTTAAATTTAACGATAATGAGCTGGCCAACTTGTCGGCCCAGGCTAACGAGATTTGTCGTCGAAATTTATTTAAATAAATGTATCGCAAATATTTTACAGCATAATACTCAGTCTGACACAGTATGGCAATATTTTGGTACAGAGTTTAAATTTAGTTTCAAAATGAGTAGTGCAATATGTAACAAGTATTTATTGCACTTGTAAATCATTTCCACAAGAAAACTGTTTTCTATCTCTCAGGCTACACGCTTCTCAATTTTCCCACTGAAATTCTTTTTTGCTTTTTTCCAGCCAGCAACACTTTTTGTGTTGAATGGCTGTTTGGCACACTTAATATTTGTTATAGTAAAAATGCGCTGAAATATAGACATGTTTATATGGACATGTAGTAAGTGAAACGGGTTGCGATTCTTGGCAATGTTTGTGGGTCACAAAGACCACGCCATAAATCGCATAAGTCAGGTGCCATATTTTCGTTCGTGGAAGTGCAATTGAATTACGAGCAGCACAACCTGAAAGTAACACGGAACTGGTCGTCTTTTGGGGCAAGAGTTTCATAAATCCTGCCAGCCAACTAAAAGGCGACAATGGCTCGTTGCCTGGTTGCCTAACCATGTGAACTGCCCAAGTAAGATGCACTTACTCGTAAAATATGCTCTCGGATCAAACAATTGCCCAACGGAGTTGCTGCTGTGTGTGTGTGTGTGAGTGGGTGGGAGTGTGTGCAACAAATTGCTTGTTATCCAAGCACAAGTATTCCTTATACACGGTTCTGGTAATGCGACTTAAGTTGCTGACTCGAATGGGGACACTTACTAATCAATTTCCGCACAATAAGCTGGGAAAACAAAGAAGAAGTTAATTCATTAAATTACAAACACATTTTCTATTTTAATTGTCAGTTGACATTTAAATTGGCTTAGAGCAGATTTAAATGCATCACATAAATCTGAATTTAAACACAGCTGCTGCAGAAACTCGGGGAATTAATTATTAATTAATGTGCAGCAAGTGTAAATTGTGTCATTGAAGGCGCCATTAATGCAACACGCGACAAAGAAATTGTCTTCCAATTGAATTTTGAGTATTGAAAATGGGGCTTGAAAGCTATCGATTGCCAAATAAATTGATAACTGCCTATCGTAGAAATCTGTAGTAGTTAATCAAATAAAAACAAGCAAACAAACATTTGTTGGACCGACCTTAAAGTTTGTTTTATGAAAAATTCTGAACTGTTAATTTGACGAGAGATTGTTGACGATTCACACAACATAAACAGTATCTTATATATCTATAATAAATCTGTTTTATGTAGTAGATACTAAATTTTAATTTTTAGTGTTGCAGAAGTGAAAAAATATATTTTTGGTCAAATTAGTCCATAAAACCTAGTCAATTTAAGAATCTATTCTTAACTAGAAAGTGAATGCTGTCTTTCCACTCATTTTTTTCCTCTGTCAGGTAAATTCTCCTTAATCTGTAATACATCTAACAATGGGGACTTAAAAGATTTGTTAGCCAATCAGACGAAAAATAAGCTTTGGCTTACTTTGATTTCAGCAGTAACAGTTTTTCAACGGATCGGATGAAAACAACAAAAAAATGGCATAGTAGACGAAGTTTTTAGAGATTTTCCGTACATTTATTAAAAATAATAATATCAAATAAAATTATGATTAAATCATCATGATTTATTCACATACATGCTTTAAGCTTGAAGGGAAACTAAATGTTGCAGCTAAGCGGATTCAACAGCTTATTTTTTTGGCAGCAAAACGTAAGCAGTTTTGACATAAGCTCTCTGTTTGAGAAATAGCCTGCAAAATTGTGCACTTTAGCAAGGGAAATTCAATTCAACAAAAAAGAAAGACACTCATAACGGAATCATAGTTAAGCCCGTTAGTGCAACTTGGCTGAAACGATTTTAATTGAATGCTAGAGCTGCGTCCGTGTACGTGCATGTGTACGGGTACGTGTGTGTGTGTGTGAGTGTGTGTGTGTGTGTTGGGGTAGATACGTGAGAGATAAAGGAGTACATTGCGGAAATGATTGTAACGCAAAACAGCAACAGCAGCAGGACGGAACAACAATCAGATTTGCAGTCAAAATTGCAAGCACAGCTGAAAAACCACAAAAGAAAAACAAAAGGAAAGCAAATATGTTGCCCTTGGGAGTTGAGGGGAGTTGAGTGGCCATAAAAAAAAAAATAATAATTTTGAATGCATACAAAAAAAAAAACCGGATTACAGCTAAACGATTTGGTCCAATAAAATGTGTCGAATAAAAGTTTCAAAAGGGGAATTGACAGATAATCGCAGAGCGCCATTATTCACTTGATAAATGATGGAGCCCGGAAATGTTTCTAGTTGAATTAAGCTGTGAACACGCTTAAACATGGAGCAATTGAATGTTTTCAATTTAAGTTGATTTTGAAAGAAAACAATTGTTGTCGAAACACGGTCACGGGCTATTCTTTAATTTTAAATGTTAAAGATTTGAATAAACATTTGCAATAAGGCAACTTAACTGTTTGCGGTATGTCCTTGCGTACGTGAGATGTTACTTTAATTGAAATTTATATTAAATACAATTGCTAATGCAACATTAATTAGCTGCATCGCTTTCCACTTTCGAAACGCGCTCGCGTCACCAAACTATGCACGAGAATACCGCGGTATATATATAGTAATTGCATCCGTTTGATTCAACAAGATAATCCGTGGCTCGCACCGCTGCCGTGCACAGTTGCAGTTGCACTGTTTTCTGTTTACGCCACGCGGCAGCTGCCATTTGGCGGCAAGGCAAAAGGTTCTTGCGCACTGGCTGCCAATTGGCGAAAGTTGCTTTTTTGAATAACTAACGGCTATTTTGCAATTGACAGAAAGCTCGTTTGCACAAAGCTCATTAAGTATCTGTTGGCATTTGAAATAAATGTGCAATTTGTTTAAAATTAGTTTATTTTTCACATTTACAATTGCGTAAACAATACAATTCAAATTAATACAAATTAACATGAAATTGCTAGCGAACTATTATTTCAATCGCTGTTGTTTTACAAAACAAAATCGATATACACATGCGCCGATATTTCGATTTATTTGTACATCCCTGGCGGCAATTTTGACAAGTTTGTTTCCAAAATGAAAATGAATAACAATCAGTGACAATATGTTAATTGTGTACCTACATGTCTAATTAATTACATAATTTTTATGCACTCACCCATTGGCACTTTCTCGCCTTTTAAACACAGCAAGAAATAATACCGAATGCAATATCGACGCACTCGCAGTCAATTGTACCAACCCATACACACAAATGCATGTACACAAAAAATGAGAGACAGAGAAAGAGAGCGTGTAAAGAATGAGGGAAAAACAAAATGAGTAAAATGCCGAAACCGCGGCGCTGCCAGATTCAGCACAGCCGGTCAAAAGCTATAAAAAGTTTAAAATTAGAGCGCTTATGCATGTTGTTCATTAAATAGTCAAAATAATTCAAATTTATTAATTTGTATCATATGATGTTTATGCATTTAAGACAGGTTTTTCAGAGATTTAATATTCCAATCTGCTTTATTGGACAATCTGGCAGCGCTACTTGCACAATATGCGTGCGAGCGAGATAACCAGCGTGTCCACGCGCAAAGCACTTATCAAAATAATGAGCAGAAAAAAGTGTTGGTTTGTTCGTTCCTTCCCACCACATTCGCCATTTGAAACGCGACGACGAGAAGACGACGACGACGACGACAGCGCAACTTGTAGCAGTGAAAATATTTATACAAATCATTTACTGTGTAAAAATCGTATTAATTATTAATTAATTAAAGTGAAAATGTAAACGCAGTGTTTGCCAATGAAATGAAATTCATTTAAAATGTATTTCAACGGAATAACTCGCCGTGAAAATTTCGTCGTACAGGCAAAAAAGAGCCGATTTTTAGTGGAAGAAGAAGAAGAAGCAGCAGCAGCAGTGAAGGCAGTAAAAGCAATCGTCGACAACGACGACGAATACACGGACAAAGCGCAGTGCGAATGAAAAGCGTGTAAAGAGAAAACTTGCAAAAATTACAGCAACAACAAAAAGCAAGGCGAAAAGTGTGTTTAGAAAAGAAATTAAAAACACACACGCACATACACAAATACACATAAACACACACACAAACAACACATACTAATGCAAATGCGAATACAAGCGCAAAATTTGAGAATTGGTGCAAAAAGTCGTCAGGCGCGCGGTTTAATAATAAACAGTTATACGTATGTATGTTGCGCGAAAACATATGAGGCGCCGCAAATACGAAAAATCAATGAAATTGTAATAAAATTGCGTATTTTGCTCTCTTCATCCTACTACAACTACAACTCTGTCTCTGCCTCCACCACAATTCGCTGTGAGCGCCCTCTCTTGTTGATTTTGTGATAAAATTGCAATCAGCAGCAGCAGCAACAGCGACCACAACAATAAAAACATTTGCCACCCAAAAGCAGCTCAAGTACATATTACAAATACATATTCACTAATATATCTATCTGCAAAACAGTTTAATACAAGGTGCGTATGCAGCAGCAGTAAACAGCAACAGCAATAACAAAAACATTAGAAATTGGTGTGGTGTGTTGTTAAATGTAGGACGTGTGAGAGAAGAAAACCCGCGTATAAAATTTGATGACGTCTTCAATGCGATACTATTGTCGCTGTTGTTGTTGATGTTGTCTAGTGGAACAACAGCAACAATGGATTGGTATCGAATAGTATCGAAAACCAGTGAACAGTGAACACTCACAAAGTACAACATCTAACTCTAATTCGATATTGTAAACGAACATTTTTTGAATACGACAAATATAATAATTGAAATATGCTTAAATTACAGTTGAATTTGGGTTTTTAAAAGTGCTCTATTTGAACAAATGATTTAAGAATTTTAGTCCCTGTACGTCTGTAACTATTTTCGAACAGTCTTAACTTATGGTAGTTTTTGAGAGTGACCACTATATGTGTCTACAGACCGTACATTTGTACCTACTTACTACTGTTACTGTTTGGGGTTCGGCCAGCGACGACGACGACCGGTATTTTTTAGAGCCCCCTGTAGAAGAAGCCCAGCATGCTATGATGCTGCTGTTGATTAACAACAACAACAGGCAGCATCAGCAACGAGAGAAGCCCAGAAGAAACTCAGAAAGCAGGCAGAGCAATAGCAATACAACAATAACAACAACAAGTAAATAGTGTAGCTGCCAAGCGAATCGTGATGTAGTCAAATTTGAATAGGTTCCAATGAGTTGACAGTGAAACAACAAAACACATAAAAGTAACTTTTACCTGTGCAATGCGTGAATTAGCCATGCATTGGGCAGCACACTTAGACAAGATATACTGAGTATATACATATGTATATATTTCATATGTATGCTATATATGTAAATATGATTAAAGTTAAAAAATTAGGGCCTGAATAGAGATATTTGAAAACCCATAAATTGCACAAAAATAGATAAAAGATTATAATTTTTGTCTTTTACAACAATTAATATTTGACTTTGATTATTGGATATATTAGAAGTTCCAATTTACGAGTGGCCACCGTTTAAGTAATTTTATCTTTTCTATTTATTGAGGATTGATTGGCTGGGTGTTGACAAATGCACATATAAATATATTTTGTTAAAAATAGATCTTAATAAAATGTCACAATTTAATATAGTAGTGTTTTCTAGCATTATCCATATACATTATTATACTGTAGCTGTAATATCAGTTGTTCTTTGAAAGATGGAGGGTTTTGCTTGATAGTTAAATAGTGTCAAAATTTCCAATTTCTGGAAGTTTTCTATGATTACATTATAAATGAATTTTTAGAATAAATTGAATTAAACTATGTTGAGAAATTGAAATACCAAACATATTTAAAGTATTAAAGTATTGATACTTTACCTACAACTTCTAGCTACCATTCTAAAATTTTGTAATAAGTTGTTAGATATTCGAAAACAAGTAAATTTGTAAAGGTCTTCACAAAGAATATTTTCGCTAGATATTGCTTGTGTAAGCACCTTTTAGAATACGGTGCATTGGCGTTTTATCTCTTTTTAACTGCTTTTGTTGTAAAATGGCAATACACCTGTTCCAGGGCAGTCTTATCAAAACAAAAAAAGAAGAAGAAGCTAGATGTGTGTGTGTGTGTGTGTGGTGTCAATATGAACGATAAATCTATCATGCTGCTCCACTGTACACAAAAGTGTACACGAAATTTGATTTGAATATAAGCATTTGACAGTCAGCGCGCGGCGGCAGCGGCAGAAGCAGATTACGCTGCTTGCTGTTCTGCTGTTCCTTGCCTTTTCCAACCAACAAACAACTGAGCATCACTCACTCACCTGGTGAGCAAATAGGGGAACGAACACACGAGTGAACGACGCATTAAAGTCTGTGACGAAAGTCAGCGCACGTCTCTTCTGGCATGCACCATGCACAATTTTGCATATGGAACTATGGAACTATGACCCTTGACGGACAATGCACAACTATTTAGAATCCATTATTCAAATAGTGGAAAATATACGATTTAATGCAGTGTTGACAGTTGGCACGTGGGCCATTTCTTTTAGCTAACAGTGTAGCACTTGTGCCGTTTTGTCGACAATGCGCGCGCTCCCTCTCTCTCACACGCGCTCAAGCCGCAGCCGCACTCACTCACACATACTCTTTTTGCAACACACACGTACACGCGCACGCATACTCACTCATATTTGGCTCTCTTTGCTTATATATTTTTTTTCTGTTTTCTGTTTTCAGTGGTTGTGCAAGAAGAAGCAGCAACAATCAGGCAAAATACCTGAAAAAAAAGAAAAATAAACGGTAAAGCGAAGAAGAAGTGGCGACAGCAAGCAGCAGCAGCAGCAGCAAGTCAAGGTAGCGCGCTAAAAGTTTATTGTAAAAATCAAAGTAGAAGGCACCAAGTGATTTTTGTATTTTGGCTTTCGAAGTAAAACGAACGAACGTTAAACAACATATAAAAACAATAAAATATAACAAAATGGTGGAAGCAATAGAGCGGCGGAGAACGGCTGCGTGAGCAGCGCCAGATCTGAGCGCCAATTATACAAATAACAACAACAACGAGAGCAATAAGAAGAGCAACAGAACAGAACAGCAACTACAAAAAGCAAAACGAGCGCGCAACAGCCGCTGGAGGCAGCAGCAGAAGCAGCAACAGCAGCAGCAGCAGAGGAGAAGCAGTAAAACAAACTTAAAAAATTTAAATAAAGTGGAAGTGGAAGTTGGAAAGCGAGCGAGAGCAGCAGCACCAACAACAACAACGACCACAACGGGAGTAGAACAAACTCAAAAAGTGTAACAACAGAAAACATCACAACAACAGCAACAACAACAACAAACAGAAAAATGTACGGAAAATCGAAGACATCCGCCGTTCCGTCTGATGCGCAGGCAAGAGAGAAGTTGGCGTTATATGTTTACGAATATCTGCTGCACGTGGGCGCCCAAAAGGCGGCACAGACATTCCTCTCGGAGATACGATGGGAGAAGAATATAACATTGGGTGAACCGCCGGGATTTCTGCACACTTGGTGGTGCGTCTTCTGGGATCTGTATTGTGCGGCGCCGGAGCGTCGCGATCAATGCGACCATAGCTCAGAGGCGAAAGCCTTCCATGATTATGGCTTCGTTAGCTCCGGTTATGGAGTGAATGGCATCGGACCCGGTGGACCACACAATGCTGGCGGACCGGCGCCCAGTCCTCTGGCACAGATGCCACCAGGCGGTGATGGTGGCCCAATGGGCCCTGGGGGACCAATGGGTCCCAATTTTTTCCCAAATTCGACAATGCGGCCGTCGCCGCCAACGCACGCCTCGAGTCCACAGCCGCCGCCGTCGCAGATGATGCCCGGCCAGCCGCCGTTTATGGGCGGTCCACGCTATCCGGGCGGACCACGGCCCGGTGTGCGCATGCAGGGCATGGGCAATGAATTCAATGGGCCACCCGGACAACCGATGATGCCCAACAGCATGGATCCAACGCGGCCGGGACCAGGCGGCGGCATGGGTCCCATGAATCCGCGCATGAATCCGCCCCGTGGCCCCGGCATGGGTCCCATGGGCTATGGTGGACCTGGTGGCATGCGTGGTCCAGCGCCCGGCGGACCAGGTGGCATGCCACCAATGGGCATGGGCGGCGGTGGTGGGCGACCACCGCAATGGCAGCCAAATGCATCAGCGCCAATGAATGCGTATTCGTCATCATCACCGGGCAACTATGGACCCGGACCCGGCTCGAATGGACCGCCTGGTCCCGGTACGCCGATCATGCCCTCACCGCAAGATAACACGCAAGGCGGTCCCGTTGGCGGACCCGGCGACAGCATGTACTCATTAATGAAACCAGAATTCCCGATGGGCGGCGGTGGCCCCGATGGCAGTGGCGGCGGCGGTGGTGGCGGCGGACCCGGCGGCATGGGACCCATGGGCGGTGGTCCCAACTCAATGGGTCCGGTACTTAATGGCGGCGGCGGTGGGCCAGATGGTACCGGTCTCGATGGCATGAAGAACTCACCAGCCAACGGGGGACCGGGTACGCCGCGCGAAGATTCCGGCAGCGGCATGGGCGATTACAATTTAGGCGGCTTTGGCGGTCCCGGCGAGAACGATCAAACCGAATCGGCGGCCATACTGAAGATCAAAGAGAGCATGCACGAGGAGGCCAAGCGGTTTGAGAAAGACACAGATCATCCGGACTACTTTATGCCATAACAACATCATCAACATCAGCAACACCAGCAACAACAGCTTCAGCAGCAGCAGCAGCAACAACAGCAACAACAACATCTCAATACGATGGCAGCTGCAGTGGCAGCTGTCGTTGCTGCTGCCGCATCCAATGGCAGTGGAGGTGGTCCAAATGGCAATACAACGGCTGCATCTATAGCTGCTGCGGCGGCACTTGGAGCAGTTGCCTCCAATTTGCTAAGTGGCAATACCAATAACCATAACAACAACAACAATAGTAGCAGCAGCAGCAGCAGCAACAACCACAACCAATCTGGCAACCCGACGACTGTGCCTACTGGCGCGCATTTTGCAAAAGAACTCAATTTCTAAATAAACACACGGTAGTGAAAATCCTCGGTACATAAGCATAAAGTAAAGTAATTATTATATGTAATAGTCTAAAAGAAAAAAAAAAAAACAAAAAAAAAATATGTAAAATTGCAAATAATAAGCGGAGCAAAAGAAAACCAAACAACAATATTCCAACTCACATTTCAAATTCAAATGCTAACAAATGCGACCAGGTGGCAACGCTAGCGGTTCAGTGGCTGACTTTAACATGGCAGAAACCGAAAACAACAAAGCAAAATATACTTAAAATGCAAACAACAACAGCAAGAGCAACAAACAATATGTTTAGCAATGTCTTCTGAATAGTTTTGTTGCAACAAGTCAAAAAAAGAAGAAGAAACAAACAAACAAAACAAAAACAAAAAATTGTAGCCTCCATATACACAAAACACACACAATCTGTCTACTAATTTTTAGCAATTTAATCCTTTTACTTGCGCTTTGCATTATTAACAAAAAAAATAAAAATAAAAAAATCAAAGAAAAAAAGAAGGAATATTTAACACAGCTACACCATCTATGTACATTTTCTGTTTGTGTGATTTTTTGCATATACTTATATAGATATATACAACTTATAAACTAAGTATATAAATATTAATAATATTGTATTGTAGAAATTGAGATGGCAAAAAAAAAAATAGAATTTTTTGTTAAGCAGTCTTAAAGGCGCAACATCAAAAACAAAAACAAAAAAAAAACAACAAAAGAAAAACAAAATATTGAGGATGCAAAACAAAGGAGATGAAATATTTATAATATATATTAGGAAGGAGCATAGTTAGCATTATTGAACATGTATATGTATATGTAGTCTGTAACACACATACATGCACATTATGGCAATATCTTGTTTGTTTGTGTGTGTGCTCTTCTCACAATGTACGTTTAATTTTATATATATATATATTTTATTTGTTTGCGTATCTTTTTTTTTAAACAAATTGTAAAGTTGGCACTTTGTCGTCGTCGTCGTCGTTTTATATATATATATATATATATACATATATATATACATATATATATATATATATATATATATATATTTTAAATATTTGTATTTGTATGCGTTTCTAGTTTGTCACTTTCGTTCTTAAATCATGCCAAACTTCAATGTATAAATTAAATTGTACTTATATTTGTATTTGTATATTTTGTGTGTTTTACAAGCAACAAATTGTTAATTAAGTTCCTTCAACTGCCGTCTCTGGCAAATCTCGAGCAATATTTATGATTTACCCCAATTATTTTTATTGGAGGACGGCAAAAAACACTTTTGTGCACTTGTTTTCGATTTCAGAAATTCCTTCGATGTCGACATTGTGCATTAGGGCAGCGAAATAAATAAATATACATATAAATTATACATATGTTTATATATATGTATATATACGTATATATATATATATATATATATAAATATAGATATAAACAGATTGTGGCGCCTTGTATGCACATATTTATTGCAAAATAGCTACGCGTATAACTAAGATTTAGCTGTTTAATAATGCATATGCATATATATATATATATATATGTATATTATCTATTACTTAAAGGCAGCAGGCAACAAAATGTAGCAAAACCTAACCTAAAATAAAAGTTTACTTCAAAAATATCACACTAAAACAAAACAAAACAAAAATTACATTAAAAAAAGCTGTACAAAAGTTAGTTAATGTTGGCTGTGGCTGCGCAGCTAATGTTAATATTATGCATAAAGTATATATACATATATATTTGTAGCATATATATATATATATATATATATATAAATAATAGTATATGTCTGTGCTTGCATCTTTTTCTCGACAGAGCACATTCACATAAATAAGAGAGGAAGAAAACCCAAGAAATCCGTAGAATTTAGATTTGAAAGCTAATTTATAAGCGTAAAACCCATAAAACAAAACAAAAAAAAAAAAAAAACCAACTAAACTAATAACAAAAGAAACAAATCAAAATGAAATTCTTTGCATTATAAACACAACACCCCAAATCAATTGATAACACATAATTTAACGACAAATTCTATTTTAAATATTGTATGTATATGTTTAATGTGTCGGAATTTGAAAAATGTAGTGCGACAAATTGATGGCATACATATATATATATGTATATATGTATGTGTGCATGTGCGTGCTGCATGAATTATTATTATTGAATTGATGCCGCACCAGATAAAATGATGCGAATGCGAAAGCCACAACACTTAAATAGTATCTAAGTTAAATTTATTATCTGCAACGCTTTAAGTTTAAGCGTTTCAATTGCTGGATCTATATAAATGTATGTATGTGTAATGGCGCGGCGTTTAGTGAACAAAACTAAACATCAACAAACAAACAAACAAAACAAAACAAAAGTGAAGAAACAGCAACAAAATGAAAGATAACACAAAAATGAAAATGAAAATGCGAAATGCCCAGAAAAAAATTGAAAAAATCCCGATTGAATATATTAAAAAACAAAAAATAATGTTTAAATAAGTATTTTAGTGTTAATTATACAATTTACAAGTACACAACACAAAAAAAAAAAAAAAAACAAAAACAAAAACAAAACAAGAATATAATATAAAATGAAATAAAGTTTTAAAACAATATTTGTAAAAAGTAAAAAATGGCTTTATTTATTTATTTCCTGTTCTCTATTTCTGGTTAACAATGAAGATAAGATATATTCTATCAAGTGAAATTAAAAATCGTTTTTAATTTTTTTGTTTGCAAATATCATATAATCAGAATATTTCCACACAATTAATGAAAATCATTTATTATTTGTCAAAAGTGATGTCTTTGTTCATCCATTTAACGACTTTTTTGATGTGTTTAGCTTATTTATTAGCTAGAATTAAGGAAAATTATATCATATATATTTGCTTATAATTTAATCCAATTATTCAGCATTTTAAGCTAATGTGATGATAATCGCTGTTAAATTTGCTAACAAATTCAACTGAAGTGCTTTTAATTTAATTATTTAATGCACTTATAATAATAACCTTTAGATGACGCATGTCATTTGTAAATATATATATATATATACATATATATATATATATAAATTTCAATTTAATCAGATTAGCTTGAGTAGTAAATACTTGGCTGCTTTAATTATGATTCTCACTTTGGATCACAAATATTATGTTTACTTAATAGCATGATTATTAATAATTTGTTATGAAATCAGAGTAAACACACCTGAGTAGATAGGAATAGATAGCTTAACCTAATACCTCAAATTACATTTAAATAGCATTGTCTGGAGTTTGGCTAATATGTTCATCAGCGGGCAATGATCTCTTGATTGCTGCCGTTTTAATTGCATAATTTTGTATTGAAATGCGTGACGCCAAAACACTGAGAAACCAAGTCAAAGCGCAGACAGAGAGACAAAATTGGCGTGGCACACGCACGGGCTTTGCTATATATCTATATATACATATATGTATGTGTATGTGGTCAGGTTGAAACTAATTGAGCGTCGATTGAGGCACATTGCCATTGGCAACCTGGCCAGGCCAAATGCCAGGTGGCCCACACAAACTTTTCACTGTAAGCTAATTACATTGACTAACCAATGTCCGGAGCTGTTCACTCAGTGTTGATAGCGCCGCCAGCGTCGATGTGGCGTGAAGTCAATAATCAATAAACCGACTGCACTAAATACATATATTAAAACAAAAGAAAAAAAATGCATTTATATTGAAGTAGTATTATCAAATGCATCCATTGAGACACGCAAGTCGAATGTAGCAAAGTGGCGTCCTGTTTTTACAGTTGCCTGGGTTGTGCGCGCAACGTGGCTGCCGCTGCTGGTGAGGAAGTCAGCCGAGGAACGGAGCCAACTGTCAACGGATTGTCGAATTGCCTAACGTATCGCCAAGTCGGAGGCGGCGGCTTTGGTGCAGGCTCAGCGCCAGCGCGTCGAGTTCCCGTCTTATTCTCCACAAATCGTGGTCTCTATCTGCGTGTGGCACAGCCACAGACGACGCTGCAACCGGTGGCGCAGCATTATGACATTAACTTTTGTGATCTGGAACGCTGGGTGAGTCACACAAATTTTGTTGCACTTTCAGCAAAGTCTAATAAAGTCAAATTTGCATACAGAGCACCAATCGCGCCAATGTGGTCAGCTTAGAGGATACATTTAGCATCCTGAAGCCAGGGCCGCATCCACATACAGACCCACCACATCCACAGAGCAATCAACCGCAACGCGACTGGAATAACTTGGCTGTCTACAAAATGCAGCCATTAAACTGATTTCTTTAATTGTATCTGTATTTCTATGCCTATATATCTAATATGTGTGCTTATTTAAGTAACTAATTTTTATTACAACTATAAAAAATAATAATAATATGCTAGACAACTAAATTGCGTGCTTCAATTCAGGCCGTGTTGCTGGTCAGCGATGCCATCAGAAATTCCATTTTATTAAGAAAACTCTTGCCCTCAATTTTGTCGAAGCGCACCTGAAGTAAATAGATAAAAATAGATTAGTTGACACATAAAAAGAATAGTTAGCTTTAAGTTGCCGAAGATTAAATAATAACTTATTAACTATTATCTTATTAACTAACTTATGAACAAAGTTGTGTTAGTAAAAACGTTCTTCTATATATAGAAACGTTATCACACAGACAAAAAAGTTGTGAACTTGAAATCAGATATTAATGTGCAAAGTTTGGGGAACTTTGACTGTTAATTTTGATCCAAGTCTGATGACTTGTGCAAAATTAGAATAGAAATTGGTAAAATGGAAAATGGAAAATGTATTTCCAAAACCCTAAACTTATTATGGAAACTATGTATTTCTTACAACATTAAAATCCCTTCTGCAAAGATATAATAGTATAGAGTTGCATAGGCTACCTCTTTGAAATTGCCACCCAAATTTTCCCAGAACTTCTCGGGGACAAGCGGACTGGGAAAGAAGTCCTGTCGCGGACTGCGCGCAATATAAACTTTGACATCAATTTGCGGATCGCAGCGTATCTGGACGGCAATCATGCGATCGCTGTTGGGTGATGCTAACAGACAGGAGCTGGCATTGCCCAGCGGCTCCACTTTGCCAATGCCAAGATGATTGCTATTCGAGAGCACCGTCCAGGCCATGCAACGCGCCAAGCTGACCAAGCAACTAATCTGATGCGAATTGATCTGGCAGAGTATGAGGTCCCGCAGCTCCTGCGGCTCATACGACAGTCGCATGACGCGTCCATCACGGCAGATGCACTTCAGCGAACGCTCCTTCACATGAATGACCAGCGATGTTCGTCCAATTGCATCATATCCATGTGTCACAATATTAATCTTTACACAGGACATGGTGGGGCTGTTCATAGCATTCCAGTGCGATACAATTTGCGGATCCTTGACATCGCGTGCCAGCGTATCGAGCACGTACTGCGTCCGTTTGCGCATGAAGATGTGCTGTGCCTGTGCAATGATCTGTTCGAGTATTGTTTGTGTTTTGGTCATGTCCAGCAGTGCTTCACGATCGGCAGCTGTTGGACCGGCGAGCATGCGTTTTTTGCTGGGACCAAGCGGTGCACTCGCCGGATGCGGAAACGGATGATGAGAGTTCTTGTAATGCACCTCCCTTAGCAGCTGATGCAGCGAGTGCTCCAGCACATGATCATGATCGTTAATAGGCGCCGGCTGGCTGGAATCGAAACTGGTCGAGTGGCACAGCGAAATGATTAGCTGTATATTGGGTAGAAGTGTGGCACGTATCTGATTCCCAATGACCACATGCGGAATTGGCGCCTGTAGCTGAATAGCCTCGCGTGCCAACTGAGCAAACAGCTCCTTGCAGAAGAGTACATTCTGTGCGAACTCCAGCGTCTTTTGCCAAACGCCCACCTGGGCGGTAATGTTTGGACCATGGCCCATCAGATTCACCTGGCAATTATTTTACGAATGTAGGAACAGTAGCAGCAGAGATTTTGGTTTATAATTCATACCTGGGCAGTGCAGAGATCTTCCTGATCCTTTTGGGTGATCACCTTTATGTAGGCAACGCCCTGTAGCTCTGCGGGCACAATGACGCGCAATGCCGAACTAGCTTTTAGCTGCATACCATTGTTGCTGCTACTGGCACTGGATGCTGCGGAGGCAGTCGCACTTGTTCCAGCACCACCCTCCTCGTCCAGTGTATCCTCTGCCTTGGTCACCTCAAATGTGCCGCTCATGCCGAACTTGGAGCCAGCAGTGCGATAACTGAGATCACCAATGATGGCTCCGTTCGACACTTTCTTCAGGCGCCAGTTCTGGCGCAAGCGCAGCAGTTCAATGTGAAAATCGGATACGTTGCGACTACGCTGCTCGCTGTGGGCAGTGCGCAATCGCTCGGCGCCGCCTAGCAACACTTGGGCCGCCTGAGAAAGGGCCTTCTTGCGACTGTAAACCTGTACAATGGCCTTGGTGTCGTCGCCATCCTCCAGCAATGGATCTAGGACCAGGTAACGCTTATCCTTGGCTATGGAAATTACATCGGACAGCACACAGATTTCAGTGTAGGCATCCTTTAGCTTATTGCGCACTGCATCCCAGGGCCAAAGGCTCTCCTGGAATTGATTATCCTTGTCCTCCTTATCTTCGGCAGCGGCAGCCGATTTCTCCTCCTTCTTCAAATCATCTAGCGATGTTTTGCTAAAGTCGATGCGTGCCGCGCATTTGGCGAGACTCTCGGAGAGCGTCGGCGGACTGTGGGGAGAGCAACTTGTTGTGAAAAATTCGAGACAACTTTGCGGCTTTTGGCTGCTGGCACTTACGGTTGGTACAGTTCGGTGCCATCGTAGGCTATTTCACGTATCTGGTTCTCGCACGTTGTCTCCACCGATATATTTACCGAGTTGGACATGTTGTAATTAGCAAATATTCCGAGCCAATGCCGGGCATTTGCAAGAATTGTATTAAAAAAAAAAACAATGCTAATTTGCACAGTGCTGCATTTGCAGCGATACACGCAAGAATCGATAAAATTTTATTAACAGCCCGAACTATTAGTCTTCTTTTGAACTGCTAATGCGACAAGATTAATTTTGTATTTTTGGACAAAATATATGAGTTTGATTCAGACAGAGCGACATCAAGTGTCATTTTAATGATGCTCTTTGGGGTTTTGCCGTAACAAAAATTGCGCATAATTTCCTTATTGCCAGGGGATGTTTTTAAGTTGCCTCTGTGTTTTCACGATGTTTTCGGTCCACCACTAAATTTGACATTCACTGCGAAAATGTAAACAACCAAGGGCGAACAATTCGAACTTCAATTTTAAAATGGCTGGTAATGTAATGTTATAGATACTATCTTCAAGTTTATTATATTTATTAAGATAAATTAACAGTATTTACGTCAAAAATGACTCCGAGTTTCAAGCAATGGCATTCGCAAAGAGCGGAAGGCGGAATGCGTGGCAATTTGTCAAAACAAATCAACGTCTGCTTGCACTAATTGTCTATCGCTTATCGATTATGCATCGATCAGCTGTTTGTGGTCGCTAATTGGCGAATGGCAATTTGAAAACTGTTGCTGCCGCTGTTTTTTTTTTGTTTTTTGGTTTTCCTTTGGTTATTTATATATAGATCGCCGCAGCGATTGCTAGAATTTTCAAAACAGCGTGCTTGTTTTTCACAAATACGACTGCGTGTGTGAGTTTGTATGTGTGTGTAATATCGAGAAGTTTCTGCAGCTATTGAATTTAGGCCAAACGGTATAAAAGAAGCGCACATAAGGCTAAACAAGTGAGTCACTCCTATTGGATACAAATCATTTGTGCAGTTTAAAGCTAAAATACGAGTTTTTCATTTAGAAAATTTCATAATCATGACAATCGACGACAAAGACGCCGCCGCTGCTGATGCCGCAGCCATCAGCCACAAAGACAAAGGCAATGAGGCATTCAAAGCTTCAAAGTGGACGGATGCAGTGCAGGAATATACCGCCGCCATCAAACTGGGCGCCAAGCACAAGGAGCTGCCCGTGTTTTACAAGAATCGTGCGGCGGCCTATCTAAAGCTCGATAAGTACACGGAGGCTGTCGATGATTGTACAGAGTCGCTGCGCTTCGCGCCCAACGATCCTAAAGCACTGTTCCGACGCGCCCAAGCGTACGAAGCGCTCGCCAAACCGGAGGAGGCGTACAAGGATGCCACAGCACTGTTCAAGGCCGATCCGGGTAATAAATCGGTGCAGCCCATGTTGCAGCGACTACATCTCATTGTCCAAGAAAATGCTGCGCGTAATGCAAAAACTTCGACGAAGGTGCAGCAAATGATGGATTTGGCCTTTGACATTGGCGCGCCCATCGAGAAGCGACGCTCGGGTGCCAATAATCTGGTGGTGCTGGCCAAAGAACCAACCGGTGCCGATTTGCTGTACAAGGCGCAGTGTGTGCCTAAAATTGCCACTCTAGCCAAAGTGGAGAAGGATCACGACATATATTTGAATATGGTGCGTGTGGTGGCCTCGCTGTGCGAGAATAGCGTCGAACGCACCAAGGGCGTACTCACCGAACTGGGCATTCCTTGGTTTATGCGTGTGTTCGACCAGAAGCACGAGGATTGCGTGTCAACTGCCCAGTTCTGTCTGCAGACCATCATGAATGCACTGTCTGGGATGAAGAACAAGGCCGATTCCAAGCCGAACAAGGAGCTGTGCGATCGCAATAACAGAGAGATTGATACGCTGCTCACGTGCTTGGTATACAGCATTACGGATCGTACCATTTCGGGCAAGGCACGTGATGCGGTCATTGAGCTGATCACACGAAACGTTCACTATACGGCACTGGCATGGGCGGAACGGCTGGTCGAGATTCGTGGCCTGTGTCGCCTGCTCGACGTGTGCTCCGAACTGGAGGACTACAAGTACGAGAGCGCCATGAACATTACCGCCTCCTCAAGCACCATCGCCTCGGTGTGCCTGGCACGCATCTATGAGAACATGTACTACGATGAGGCCAAGCTGCGTTTCACGGATCAGATTGATGAATACGTCAAGGACAAGCTACTGTCACCCGACATGGAGTCCAAGGTGCGCGTCACTGTGGCAATTACATCACTGCTCAACGGTCCCCTCGAGGTGGGCAATCAAATTGTGGCCAGAGAGGGTGTGTATTCTAGAATTGAAATTCTTAGTAGTTGAATTATTATTATTAATAACTTCGTTCAGGCATTCTGCAAATGATACTGGCCATGGCCACAACGGATGATCTGCTGGAGCAGCGTGTGGCCTGCGAGTGTCTGATAGCGGCCTCCTCCAAGAAGGACAAGGCAAAGGCGATGTGCGAACAGGGAGTGGAAATACTGAAGGGCCTCTATCACTCTAAAAACGATGCAATTCGAGTGCGTGCTCTCGTTGGACTCTGTAAGCTGGGCAGCTATGGTGGTCAGGATGCAGCCATAAGACCATTTGGTGATGGCGCCGCCCTCAAGCTGGCCGAAGCCTGTCGCCGTTTTCTCATCAAGCCGGGCAAGGACAAGGACATACGCCGCTGGGCTGCCGATGGTTTGGCCTATCTGACGCTGGATGCGGAGTGCAAGGAGAAGCTCATCGAGGACAAGGCATCCATACATGCACTCATGGACTTGGCGCGTGCCGGCGATCAGTCGTGTTTGTATGGCGTTGTCACCACGTTTGTGAATCTCTGCAATGCCTATGAGAAGCAGGAGCTGGTGCCCGAAATGGTGGAGCTGGCCAAATTTGCCAAGCATCACATACCCGAGGAGCACGAGCTGGACGATGTGGATTTTGTGAACAAACGCATCACAGTGCTGGCCAACGAGGGCATCACGACGGCGCTCTGTGCGCTCTCCCGAACCGAGAGCCACAACTCCCAGGAGCTGATTGCCCGTGTTCTGAACTCAGTGTGCGGGCTACAGGAGCTGCGCGGCAAGGTGGTGCAGGATGGCGGCGTTAAGGCATTGCTCCGTTTGGCACTGGACGGCACCGAGAAGGGCAAACGGCATGCAAGTCAAGCACTGGCCCGCATCGGCATCACCATCAATCCCGAGGTGGCGTTCAGCGGTCAGCGCTCGCTGGATGTGATCCGGCCGCTGCTGAGTCTGCTGCATCAGGATTGCACGGCCCTAGAGAATTTCGAGTCGCTGATGGCACTGACCAATTTGGCCAGCACGAATGAGAGCGTTCGCCAGCGTATTATCAAGGAGCAGGGCGTGTCCAAAATTGAATTCTATCTGATGGAGGATCATTTGTATTTGACGCGTGCGGCGGCCCAGTGCCTATGCAATCTGGTAATGTCCGAAGATGTGGTCAAGATGTTTGAGGGCGAAAACGATCGTGTCAAGTTTTTGGCTCTACTCTGCGAGGATGAGGACGAGGAAACGGCCACGGCCTGTGCTGGTGCTCTGGCCATGCTTACCTCCGTCTCTACCAAGTGTTGTGCCAAGATTTTGGCCATTGAAAGCTGGCTGACAATATTGCAAACGCTCATCGCCAATCCCAGTCCGGCGGTGCAGCATCGCGGCGTTGTTGTCATACTCAACATGATAAATGCCGGCACCGAGATTGCCACGAATCTCCTCCAGACGGACATCATGGAGCTGCTCAGCGGCCTCAGCCAGCTGGCCGATGATACTCGCGCCAAGGCACGCGAAGTGGCCATCCAATGCCTGGCGGCTGCGGAACGGAATCGCATCATTGAACGTTCCGATGATGCCGAAATCCCGGATGTCTTTGCCGAGAATGCCAAAATAACCGAAATTATCGATTAACGATTAACGATTCACGATTGCGTTTGCCATCACACATCAGCTATTTTATCATCTACACTTGCTTCTTACTCTTTATCGGCGAGTGCTTCAACTGTGTCATTTACCTAATTTATTTCTGAACCACTTGTTTCAATGTACTTAAGCGTCATACGTTTTCTTTAATGCAATACGAATTTATAATAAATTCATAAAAATGTTTCGTTAAAAAAATCTTGGTTTATTTATTTTACGCAACGGTTTAGAAGGAGAATTGTCACCTTGTAAGAATTTCTTATCATTATAGTGCCTAAATAAGGTTTGTAACGCATTGGAGGAGACGTCTCCATACCCAAAATGTGTATATATTCTTGACCAGCATAATATTCCGACTCGATGTAGACTTGCTGGTGTTTTATGATCATTTTAAAATATATCTTTTATCAATTTTCGAGGGTATTTAATATTTTGTTTGGCTTAGATAGTCTATTTTGTTTTTATACTCATTTCTTCATTCATTATACTCGTACATATTCCTATTATTAAAATGGGAATTTTCTAATTATTTAAATATAAATTTGATAATTTTTGTTGTTGTTGTCAACGAGCTAATTTCTAATTATATATTTCTTTTAGTTTTTTTTATTTTGTAAGCCGATAATTTATTTTTTAACTTCCCTACAGTGAATTAGATCATATAGTCTCTGATATAAATGGACATAGCTATATGGTAATTCGATAATTAACGTTAATAGTATACTAAAAATGGGCTTCAGAGTAAGAATGTAGCATGCTGCAAGATTCAACTTTCATGTTCATTTAAAACTGTGCAATTATTCTTAATGATGCTAGGGACTATAAGTGCTTTTGATAGGAATCTAGGTGTTCTCTGGTTCTACTATACCTTCGCTCATATCTTCCACCTGATCTACGTATGCCTTGAAAACAGGTTGCTTCATCGCATAGTTTCCTTTTAAAAGTTTTTATTTTTTTGGCGTACTTGAAATTCATTGTTAATGCTACAAAAAATGTTTATTACAACTGAGTTCATAAAATGACCACAATTTTTTGGCCAGGCTCTTTATAAATTCTGTACATTTGAGCAGCCCATTTGCTCTACAGATTTTTTTGGTTTTATTTTTGGCATCATTGAGCAACAGCCGCCGTGTGGGTTGCCATTTTTGGGGCAGGTGGCTGTTTTAATTTGATTTCATGCCGAGAAGAGCGTCCCCCCCTGCTGAAATATACATATATTATATGAACTTAAGGACTTGGAGTGCATTTCATGCATTGTTAATGACTGCGAGTCTTGTAAGAATAGCGATCCATGTGAATTAAGTTAAGTTAAAAGCTCGCCAAGGTATTTTCCCACATCGAGACTGGCTGACTGACTAACTGACTAGCTTGGCTGGCTGGCTGACTGAATGCCTGGCAGCTGAAAGTGGATTCATTCCAACACTTAAACTGGCATTAGCCAAGCGACTCGAAAGAAGTTCTAATGCAGAAATAATTGCAGTTGCCACCAGTAGTTGCATCTTTATAGGAAGGTATGCACCCATGATGATGCTCCTAGATCTCGACTCTTCGTTCTTTCAAAATTGCTCAATCCCAATGAAATGTTATTAATTAAATTAATGTAGCGTTAATTCATTTTGCCTTTACAACAGAAAATAGCTGTAGATCTTTGTTGCCTGCTGCGCAACAACAGCTGCAACAGCTCATCCCCAATCCCCAATCCACGAAACCCAAACCCAAACCCAAACACAAGCCCAAGCCCAGTCCCTAGCTCAGCATTAAGTTGTTAACTCAACTTTTGCTTAACGGCACTTGGACATTGTATACTAAAGGCACAAATGACTTGGCACTCGGCCACAGAGTGCATGTCAATGGGATGAGCCAAGTAAAGAGAGAGGATTGGCAGACAGGTGCCGCATCAACCCAATTGGCTCTTTGTTGGGCCCAAGTGACAATTGATGGACTTGATATGCTCCTATAACCCAGCTGCACACAATGCAAATGAAAGTGCACTCACCACAGTAAATTGCTTCAAAGAGCACGTTCTTTAGAAAATGTATAAAGTATCTAGGCTATGTGATATGGGCTACTTAAAGTGTTCAACTTCAGTTATTCGATTCAATACTAAACAATATAAACAGCTTACACATGTCGCCACTTGAAAGGGGCCTAATATTAGGATCTATTCGAATTCTTACTTTTTTTTTGTGAACAATTTAAAATGTTCTTTCTACAAATAAAATAATTTTTCTTTGATAGTTTGATTTTTATATCAATAAATTAAATAAATCGTCTAATTAGTTTCTATGTTGTATTTATTGTTAGTAGATCTTATAATTAATGATTACTTTATTTTAAATATAATTCTTAGACTTACATAATAATTTTTATTTATTTCTTGTTATAGTCTTCAATTATTCTTCGATTTTGAAATGAACACTAATTTTTAAAATTTTAGATTTTAAGTTTGTATCAAGAGATCATTGCTAGAGGTGGTTGTTGTAATATAATATTATTTAATATTAAAACACAATTCCTTCGTTTAATCAGATTAAATCGTCCGATCTTTCGATCTCTCTCACTCTCCATACCTCTGTCTCACTCTAATGCTGATGATCAATGTCAGTGCACTCATCTTCATTCCCTTCCATTCCATTCTGAGTGACGACAGGTGTCCACCGGGCCGCATTCCGTGATATTCAGCATGTGTCGGCGTCAGTTGAAAAGTGAAACCAATCAGTTTTTCTGTGCAAGGTGCTATCCGTTTTGCGCTCAGTTCCATAACGATCTTACATCAATTGAGCGATCTGGCGATCGAATGCCGGATCACTTGCACTTTCAAGACATGGCCATGGAAATGCATTCTACTTGAACAACTTTCATAATTGGTGGGCAAAAGCACTTTCGTCCAATCGGTCAATCTGCAGCACCCGGGGCGTACTCTGCCACGGATGCGGAGATAGAGGCAGAGTTGGAGACGTTCGTCGCTTTGTAATTTGCATATTTTCCGCATCGCGCAGACGCCGTCATCTGTATGTGGTGCAGTTTATTAAACAAAATATTGACATGAAAATCGGCTTTCGATTTTACATGCGAGCTTGCGACAAATTGTGCGTCGTCGTCGCCGTTGCTGCTGCTGCCGATGATGCTGCTGCTGCTGCTGCTGGTGCAGTTGCTCCACAAAACGAGATTAAATGGAAAGTGAAGTTGTGCGTTGCGTCGCCAATCAAGCGCAGCATCAAGTTTCGATCTCTTAGTTGTTGCACCGTCTCTTCATTCACTCAGTCTCTCAATACGCTGTCTTGGCCTGCCTCAGTTTGTCTACGTAATTAGGACAAAATGTCTAATGTTGACCAAGCCAAAAAGCAAATACGCGTCCAGTGTCTGGTTTCATTTTTGTTGTTGTTCGTTTTTTTTTTTTTGTAGTTTGGCTTACGCACTTAATGATCATTAAGAGGTAAATGCAACTAGCTTATGATATTTGTAGTTGTTGGTGTTGTTAGTGGACTTAAGCCGATCCATTTGGTCAGTTGCGGGGCACGCAACTTTTACTCAGGTGGAAAGTTCTTCTGTCAACGCTATGATTTGATTAGCGGCAGATGCGCAAGCAATGCATGTGGCAAGAGCAGTGGGAGGTGTAGAGGGGAATTGTGGCACGATTTTGGCCTGGTCTATAAATCCAATAAGCTGGAAAAAGGGATCTAATGGTCAGCTCATCTTGACGCTTAACAATTATAAAACAATTTCTTTTGGTCGATTTACACAGTGAAAATGCACAAATAGAAAGTTTCGCAAGCGTTTGCAATAGAAACAATTAAGGCAAAATCTACAAGAAAAACTGCAAGCTAAGATGGCGCAATGAAAGCTGAAAATGTTGCCGACGATCGTTTTAGCCTTAATGATCTTCCCTCGGAGATGAGTCTTCAGTTTTGCAGTTTAAGAGTGACTGGATGCAGAAAATATAAAAAAAAAGCAAAAATTGATGCCTGTGTGGTCATCGGCCTGCATCTTAAATCGCTTGACAAATGCCCAGCAATTGGCATAAACTTCGACAGCCTGAGTGCTGGGCCTAATTATGGGCACCGATTTCAATCGCCTGCTTCCTCTTCGACTTCACACACAATACAGCTTGGACGCTCCATTTCGTGGCGATTCAAATGCCCGGCAATCTTTTCAATTATTGCTTATCATTGCGAATGTGCCATGGTCAATGGTCGATGGGCAGACAAATGTCATTAGTAGAGGGCTCCATGTGGTGCATGCCACAAAGTTGCCAGCTAATGGCCCCATTGCCACATGTTGCACACGCTCGCAATGTTTAGCATCGACTATGCTCAACTTGCTTGCCACATTGCCGTTTCCGATGCCAGCCACTGCTATCTTAACAGCCCCGCGACCAATTGATGATATAAATTCCAAATTTTTACCTATCTGTTGACTGCTACAATTTTCAGCCATACATTTGTTGTGGCTTTGACTTTGTTGCCGCCGCCGCTGCATTGCGCTGCATGCAACATGTGGCTAATGCCAAACGTTGGCAATTTTCGGCTTTCAATGGCTTTTCCTTAACCACTTGGCAGTTGTTTGATTAATTGCCATTCCCAGCGTCAACGGAAAATGCTTTACAATTTTGTTCAAGGAAGTTATGCATCCAATTCCGGTGCAAAACTTGTTGACAAATGCGGTTGCTTCCAAAATAATGGCTGATCTGAACTAAAGGTGAAAGTTTTTGGCCATCGTCTTTTGCATTGAGCAATATACCTAGTTTTTATGCAAAATCGAATTATCAAAGATTTATGATTCCTTCAATTTTCGTGAGGTTTTCTGAACAAATATTAAAGAACAGGAAAATTCATATTATTCTACTTTGCTTACTTTAACTTCAGCTTGATCAAACTAAGACACTAAGCAAAAAGAAAAACTCGGAATAAAATTGGCATATTATTGATCAACTGTAGAATTTCCAACTAAATCTGCTTTGAATAATTACACTTAACAGCTGGGTTCAGGGTATCTCTTGGTCAACCTCTCCCAACCAGAGCGTCCTTACTTGTTAGCCGTTGGTTTTCTCTACTTTTATTATTTAGTATTTCGTGTAAAGAAGAATGAATTTTATAATTATCACATTCCGCAGCACAGCGTGGGCTAACAGGTAAATAAAGAGAAAAAAGAGATGAAAATAGACTGTTGCCTGGTTTTTGCTTTAATTATGCAGTTGG